CGTTGGACAACCGGGAGGCCGCATCCCAACAATTGTATTTACTCACACGGTTGAAGTGTTTCAGCCATTCGTCGACGTCTTCTCCGACCCTCCCAGAGAAGCTTCGTGGTACTATGTGTCGGGGCCACGTAGCACCAGACGAAGAGTGCGTGGTGTCGCCGTCAGCAATCGGATTCATAGAGAGCGGTGGTAGACCAGCCAGTCGGCGGCTTGGGCGTAGTTCTTGAAGTAGCGCTTCCGTGATCGTTCGCCTGGGATCGCTCCGCTGTACCCCACACCTTCCACCAATCTTGTTACGGTGAGACTCCTTTATTTACAGGAGATGATGAATGCGAGAGTCCAGGGATCTGGCCGATCACCGCTCGTGTCAACCTCGTTCTCCTCTTCTTCCACGCGGCCACGCGGGATGCGTGGCCTTGGTAATTCCACGCGGGATGCGGCCTCCCGGTTGTCCAACGTCGGATTGTTTCTATATTACTACACGTTACTTTTGTGCATTAAAATAACAATTTATACCCATGTTTGGTTCTTCTCGGTGTGTGGAGTACTGTCTCCGTACACCTAGCACAAGAACGCCGAGAACTAGGACCACCTATGGTCAGCAACTTACTGACTATCAAATACCCAGCCTTTTCAACAAACTTGAAAATGTAGTTGACCTAAACAAAAAACAAACAAACTCCAAAGATACATTCGAGGAAATTCTCCTTCATAATTGCATTGAATATGTTTATTATAATATTTCGATTAGTTAATACTTTATGTGTACTAATGGTTAACTGTAGAGCTCCAATCACTTCTTTTGAAAAGTGTATGTCACCAAATGTGTTTTTGATCTTCCCTATTTTACAAATTGCGATTATGATGTTTTTCCTTAATGGTATTTTGTCTTTTGTTATGCATATTGTTGTGTTCTTTTTCACATTGTAGCGTTTATTTTTCTGATAATAATTTGCTGATTGGTAGTGTTTCTGTGAAACGTTGTTTCTTATCTGCGTCTAAGTTGTGTACTACACTGTATTTCGAAGCAAAATCCTCCGTCAGGCTTCACAGCCTTTTGCTTTTGCTTCGTTTTTCCTATGTACAGGAAAATAAATAAATACATAAACCTCAAACTTTAAAGAAAAAAGTAGGAACAGGCGAGGATAACTGCAAGTGAGTCAAATCCGCACTGACCATCGAGTTCACTCGCTTCTCAAGACCAAACGGAAAGCGGGTACTGAAAAATATTCAGTATAAATTATAGCTTTAGAAAGCTGATTCAGCTCCTCATCGAAGATTTTGTTTCAAAAGTTGCACAGAAAAAATTGATGTCTGGCATAGTGACGAGAACTGCTGTAATATTTTATTCTTTTAGTAGCAGCTGCCTCACTTGGACTCTAATATGCTCTTCTGGTCACTTTATTGATTGTGAGCCAAATTTGAATTGAAAAGACCGCGTGATAATACTTTGCAACGTTTCGCTTGCTGAATACAAGGTAACAGACACAATTGCAACTGTACTACTGGATATTATATGTGCACCTCTGAATAAATGTACGAAAATTATTTACGAAGTGTACTTTTACTTTGTGTTTGTATTCCTTAGCGCTGCATAAATATTCTTACGCAAGTGTACCAACGAAGAAAACTTGACGCATGTGAACTAATGTTAGCATACTTGCTAAAAGTTGAAGAGTGAAGGTGAATTTGAAGTTACACTTGCTCTAATGCCATACAATTACTTATTCTGTATAACTGAATGTGTTGCATGCTGGAACCGCATACATAAAAACGCATAATAAATAAAATTGAAGCGGAGGAGAAAAGCATTAAGTGGAAGGACAGAAAGGTCAGCCAGTTCTTAGACCCGTTGGCTACCATGTGCTGAGAAAAGGGGTGAGGGAAATAAAATATGACAGAGAAGGTGCGTTAGAAAGAGAGAGATATTGAAGAGGTATCGTTTAAGGTCGTGAGGAGGAAATAAACAGTGGTGCACTTTATGTGTTTTATTACGCGAAATTCCGCTATTGAAGCTTCAGTGTGAGGCGCCAGAACCACACATTCAAAACACGTTGTTGAACTAGCTTCTTGCTCTGATGATAATTTTCGTGCAAGCGCTATTGGGCTTCATGCAAACTACTGGCCTATCTGAACGGCTCTAAGTGGATTGTTTCGTGTGCGCGAGTGTTCTTTTTTATTTTACAGCGATAAGATCCAAAAATGGTCCCATGCAGTGCCATAGTTGCCTGCCACCGCCGGTGTCCATGAGCATTGTAGCCCGAAATAGGAAAAAAATGCACACAGCGGGACTCAAACCCGGTCTCCCACGTGCCAGCCGTGCATTCTACTGCAGAGCTACGGCGCTGCTTGAAACTTTATAGTAAACTTGTCTTAGGCAGGCCTATTATCGGGAAATGTATCGCGTTAGAATGAGTAATAACGGGTTTGATAACAGCAGAGAAAACTAGGCGTCACACAATGGACAATTGAGTAACGAGTGGGTCATCAAATGCTCGGACCCATTCCAAAAGCTTCAAGAATTATTCTTCATCTTCTTTAGCCACAGCATAAAAGATTGCACAAGCTTCCTTGCAAGAACACAGCGGGTACCACGTTTCTCCAAAGAATCGCGAAGGATGGCATAGTGAACGCTTCCCTACTAGACAAAAGTTATGATTTATGGCGTAGTGGGTAACTTGCAAGTGTGCTTGCAGCAGTTACCCAAACAGTGCTTAACAAAGGCGCTGAAAGCCTACTCTTCCAGCTTTCGCCGTGAGTGTGCTGTGGCTTGGCCGCAGGCGTCGCATTTTTCTATCTCTCTCTCTCTCTCCCTTCTACCCCCTGTTCCCCAACCCCATTGCAGGGTAGCATACTGGGTCCTAGAATCTGGTTAGCATCCCTGCCTTCCTTTTTTCTCTATTCTCTTTTTCTCTTGTTCTTGCCAATGCAGGAACAATGTAGACATTCAGCAAACTGTGAAAACATTTCTCTTTCTTAGAGTTCTTTCGGTGTGCCTAAGAGAAACAATAAATGGTGAAGACACAGCTCTCACCCTCCTTACCATCACCACGTAGTTCATGCTTTACTTACGGCAGAAACCTTACGGTGCTATAAAAGACTCGCAACGGTGTTGTCCCTTTGTCACTGTGTTCATTTGGCTGCTTAGGTATTTGTCGGTTTTTTTGCTAAAGCTATTGTGTTCCTCATTGTGCCTTGCGTACCTTGCAGTTTAACTGTTTCGGAGCTATGATTGGAATCTGCCCATTGTGCGAAGTTGGCTGCCACAGCTGGAAAGAAAGCATCGACTGTCCCAACCCCCGAGTAGAATATAATCTTCGGAACTAAACAATGTGTTTATAGTAGAAAAACAGTGAAAATTAAACTGGTGCATTATTTCTTCATAGTCATTCACCGAGGGAAAGCAGCCAAAATGAAATGAAGATTCGATTCTCTCGTGCACAGCCATTGGTGCCGTTTGGTAACCTAGCGCGGGAATCGTGTGCCACTGTTGCAGCAAAGACAAACTGTTGTTATTATTTTCGAGTGGGTGCCTGTCACGCTTGTTTTGCTGGACGATTTGATACGTAGCGCGTGAAAAATCAGGAGGTTCAGCCGTGGCGAGGAACGTTCATTGCTTAAAGTTGAATTACTGGTGTCTACTGCAGTTAATAGATAGAGCAACCAGTGGGAAAATGCATGTATTTACCAGTTTCAAGCCTATTTGGCTATATTCACCCCATCTATTCAGCAGCTTGTACACCTTCCAAGTTTTGCAGGTGCTTGCCAAGAAGAATTTCTTAGCGATTATAATTAGGCTACTAAACCACATATCTCGCTAAATGATTCGTATATATATGTGATAGAAAAATAGAACATAATGGTGGCAAACAGAAACAAATAATAGGCGTAATTGTTTTATTATACTTAAATAACATTTTTTGCTGCCTAATGGAGCACATAAACGCAAACAGTGGTATACACGACACTGGACGCAAAATATTGGTTGCTTTTCCAAGTTTATGGTCTCCAATTGGCGCAACGTATGCCAACTCACCGAAGATCATCAACAGTCGTCAATCGGCTGTTAGAGTAGATGTCCGTAGTAGCCTTAATGTTTGGCGTGCGTGTGTTTACGTTCAAGTGTGTTGTCTGTTCAATCCTCTATGTACGTTGTTTAGAAGTGCAGCTATCGCGGTAATTATTCGAGGTAATCAGCAATGATCGATTAGTTTTTGTCTGACGTCTGTTTTGACATAGGCTTTCGTAATTCATTTCACTTGATTTGCCATAATACACGACCCAGATAAAACAAAAGCGCGTAATCCTCCTGCTGGTTTTCATTAATGTTGGGTAGTTGTAGCCCACTAAAGCTAGCATGCCTACTAATACCTAACTACTAATACCTAATAAGGGTATTACCTTGTTAATAAGAAGCCAACATTTTATTTGGTTTAATGCACTGACTAACGGTGTATCGGATTTGACAAACTTACATTTACAATCGGCTGTTAATAAGAGAGTAAGGCTTTTTGTGGTTGGAGTACGCCTAATATTCAGTTATTATACAGGCCAAGCTTTTCTTGAACTCTACATCAGGCGATGCTGCCGATGAACTCTTGAGACGCCAGTTCGAACACAGAGAGCACAGCGAAGCGACCTTCGCTCCTTAAGCCCCTGGCAACGCGAAATGCGGAGCCGTGGTCATGGGAGCAAGCATACAGAGCGACAGTGGCTGCAGTGAGGCGATTCGCTGACTCCCCAAGCCTAATACGGCAGTGCTCAGTACCACACTCGGCGAAGAACGATACTTTCACAATTTCAAGCAGCAAGAACTTCTTTCATGCCGCAACAGCCTTTTATTGCGCCGTACATTATCGCTGATACAAGAGTAAGAGGCGGTAATTAATTATCGGTTCGGCCGCAGTCGATTTGTTGAATCGCGCAGCGTCTATTTTTTTTCGAGTTTGCTTCGGGATTTTGGATGCCCCCTGGTCAATCAAATCGGTGTATATACTCACATTCTGAGGCGAAACAAAGCGGTGGCAATAAGTTGGGTTTTGGAATACAGGCTGGTTTAAGTAGATGGCGCCTGCATTAAATAATACAGATATATAAATGCGATCTAGATTTTATGGTGTTAACGAGCCGAATAAAACAGTTATCACAAAGTATACAAAACAAGCCAACAAAGTTCTTGAAACATTCAAACAATACACTTGCATATATATATATATATTGTTACCACATGTGTAATTTAGGTATGTGAACCTGTGTAGCGGGGAACATGGTGGTAGGAGAAGAAGAGGACGTTCGGTTGGTGGCAAGAGCTCGCTGCTGCGCGTTCACTGCGGTATACCGTCGAGTCGACCGTTACGTCTGCTTCGAATAAACCCCTCGTAGACGTAACAGAGTGGTGGAGGTGCGGGGTACGACACGTCGACGTACCACGGAGCCACAGCTGTTCGGAGTTCGCCGGAGCCGTCGTCTTGCCGGTCTGCCACCGACAACAGTCGTCATGGCCCAGAGCGAAGGTCAGGAATCAACCGCCTCCACTTCGCGCCAATCTACACTGGCTACACCTAGGCATCACTACATGGAACCCCGCCCATTCGCGGGAATGGCAGGAGAAGATGTGGACGCGTGGTTAACGCGCTACAAAAGGGTGAGCCGGTACAACCACTCGAACTCTATCGATCAGCTGGAAAAAGTCGCGCTGTTTCTCACGGACACCGCCCTGATGTGGTATGAAAACCACGAAGAGTCCTTGACAACATGGGCTCTTTTTGCTCAAGAACTCAAGAAGTGTTTTGGTGACTCCGACTCAAAAAAGAAAAGCGCGGAGCGGACTCTTGCTGGAAGAGCCCAGACTCTTGGAGAAACCTGCACTGCTTATATGAGGACGTTCCTAAGCTTTGCAAGATTATAAACCCGCAGATGTCTGAAGAAGACAGGGCCGGACACCTATTGAAAGGCATAGCGGAAGACGTTTACAAGTTTCTGATAGGCAGGGATGACCTCACCTCTGCCTCCGACGTCCAACATCACTGCCGCACGTTTGAAAAATTGAAGACTCGTCGCATCGCCCCGAAATTTGGTAGGCTGGCAAATGTGACAATGGTTGCCAGCGTCGACGTGAGCCCGCCCACCGACCTTGCCGCTACTATTCGGGCAATTGTGCGTGAAGAGCTGCAGCGACAAGGTGGTAGGGTTGACAAAACCATTCCTCATCCACCTACCAATCCACCCTACTACACGGCGGCGCCATCAGCTCCTTTGCCACCATCGGTATGTGCGGCAGACATTACCGAAACTGGAAATACGCGGCCACGTCGTGACTCATTAGCGGCCGACCAGCGATATGGCCAACGCCTTCGGCACGGCCCCGCCACACAGAGGTGGGCAGCCCCCGCTCAGCAAGCTCGTCACCGACCGTTCACAGCTGAGTGGTCTCAGCATTGGTTCGGCGAGCGTCCTCTACCAGTCTGCTACAACTGTGGCTTCGAAGGACACATTGCCAGGTATTGCAACTACCGGCAGCCGCCAAGATACGACCGATCACCGAGATTTAACAGTTCTGGCGTTACCCGAGCACCGACATTCCCGGGAAGCGCGTCTTACGAGATCCCAGGACCGCTACGAAACCAATCTCCGGCCTCTGACTGCAGTGTGACACCACCACCTGCCCCTCGCGCCAACCGATCACCGTCTCCTCGGTGCCGCCACTCGTCGCCTCCTACGGAAAACTAGCCGGCGCGGCCGTTGGAAGTGAGGTCGCCGGACAGTCTTCGATTTCAACAGATATACCTCCGTTAGCTTCCATGCTTAGAAATAAGGTTCGAGTGCTTATCGATGGTGTACCAACGATGGCGTTGGTGGACACAGGTGCAACCGTGTCAGTGATGAGTTTAGTTTTCACCCGCCTTCTTCGACGAAAGGTTATGTTTCGTTGGGACCGTCCTGATACGTTTCGTGGAGTGAGCGGAGAGGTGTTACAACCTGTTGGTGTCTGCACTGTGACTGTTAGTTTGGCGTGCCAGAACTTTGTCGCAGAGTTTGCTGTTCTCCCTCATACTACGCATGACGTCATTCTGGGACTCGATTTCTTGAAGCTATGTGGTGCTACCGTCGATTGCCGCACAGGACAAATTACAGTAGATTCTGATATCCCTGTTTCGTTTATGAAAAACTCGCCCTCTCAAGAAAGTGCTCTTTGTGTGTCTGTGGACAAAATTGTGCCGCCGTTGTCTGCAAAATGTGTCCCTGTTGTCTGTTCACCTGCAAGCGAGAAAACATTTGACGCAACTGTGGAGCCCGTGCATCTCAGTTGCATAAAGAAGACAGTTTTAATACCCTACTGTACACTATCGATTGCGCAAGAGATACTAGTTTATGGGTGATTAACTGCTCTAATGAACCTACACTGCTGCCGAAGAGTCTGAAACTTGCAGAGATTCGTGAACACCAAGTATTCTCGCTTGCCACCCTCGCAGAAAGCAATGATTCCCCGGATAAGACCCGTTGCGATAATCTGCACGCCAGGGACACCACCATTACGGCTATGATTGGTAAGTCACTCAGCACCAAGGAACGTAATGAACTGGCGAGTATTCTGCGCAAACATGCCGGTATTTTCGATTTAGCTCAGCATGATTCACCGTGATTCCCTGCTTCTCGTATAAAGCACCGAATCGACACGACATCTCACAGACCTCTCTGACAGAAACCATATCGTGTATCGCCTTCGGAACGCGCAGTGATCAATGAACAGGTTTGCGAGATGCTCAAGCAAAATGTAATTCAAGAATCATGTAGTCCGTGGGCCGCTCCAGTAATTCTAGTGAAGAAGAAGGATGGGACATGGCGATTTTGTGTTGACTACCGCCGTCTCAACGCCATCACTAAAAAAGACGTATACCCACTCCCGCGGATTGATGATGCTATCGACTGTCTATCATCGGCCTCTTACTCTTCGTCTGTGGATCTGAGGTCAGGCTACTGGCAGATTCGAATGCACGAGGAAGACAAAGAGAAAACGGCATTTGTTACAACACATGGACTATTTGAATTCAATGTGGTGCCGTTCGGACTCTGCAACGCGCCCGCAACATTTGAGCGATTTACAGACAACATTCTGCGTGAATTTAAGTGGGAAGTGTGTATGTGTTACTTGGACGACGTTGTAATTTATGGGCGCACCTTTTGTGAGTACAACACACGCCTTGGCCTCGTACTGGACTGCCTAAGCAAAGCACGCTTGGTGCTCAACTCAAAGAAATGTCGTTTTGGAGAGCGCCAAACACTCGTCCTTGGACACTCAGTAAACAAAGAAGGCATACGACCGGATCGCGCCAAGACGGCCGAAGTGGAGGCATTTAAGCAGCCAAACTCGGCGAAAGAACTGCGCAGCTTTTTGGGGCTTTGTTCATACTTTCGCCGATTCATTCCTGGCTTTGCTAATATCGCATACCCGCTCACGTGTCTGCTTCAGAAAGGTGCGCAGTTTGACTGGACCCCGGAATGCGAGTCTGCTTTTTCCGAGTTGAAGTTTCTTTTGATGTCCCATCCGATTTTTCGACACTTCAGTCCTCTCGCTCCCACTGAGATTCACACAGACGCCAGCGGTATTGGTGTAGGTGCTGTCCTGGTTCAACGCTTGGATAATCAAGAACACGTCGTAGCGTATGCAAGTCACTCGCTCTGCAAGTACGAGCGTAACTACACTGTCACAGAGCAAGAATGCCTTGCAGTAGTCTTCGTAGTGCAGTGCTTCCGGTCCTACTTGTACGGACGCCCCTTTACCGTCGTGACACATCATCATTCTCTCTGCTGGTCAATCTGCGTGACCCATCTGGTAGGCTGGCGCGCTGGGCACTTCGTCTACAAGAATATGACTTCACGGTTTCCTATAAAAGCGGGCGACGTCACGCTGACGCAGATTGTCTTTCGCGACTACCGCTTCCAACGATGGAATGTGACGCGGACACCTTCGATACCTACATTGCATCACTCGACCAACCATTTCCCTATAGCAAGACCTTTAAAGACGAGCAAGAAAGGGACAGCACCATAAAACAGCTTCTTGCTACAAAACCAAAATCATCGCCTACGCGCTTCTGCATCCGAGACGGGCTAGTTTACAAAAAGAACTACACCAACACCGGCTCACGATATCTTCTGGTGGTTCCGAAGAGTCTTCGCGTTTATGTCTTGCAGGCTATGCATGATGACCCAACATCCGGTCATCTAGGCACAGAAAAAACTCTTTGCCGTCTTCAAGAAAGATTCTACTGGCCCAAAATGCACCAGACGACGGAACAATACGTGTCTAGCTGTAACGAGTGTCAACGTGACAAGCGCCCAACAAGTGCTCCTTTAGGGAGAGAACATCCAATGCCGCCCCCTAGAACTCCATTCGAGCAAGTCGGGATTGGCCTCCTTAGACCCTTTCCCCGGTCTTCTGACGGAAATCGCTGGATAGTCGTTTGCACCGACCATTTAACACGGTACTGCGAGACAGCTGCCATACCATCGGCAACTGCAGCCGATGTGTCTTCCTTCATGCTACATTTGTAATTCTTCGACATGGACCTCCCAAAATCGTAATCAGTGACCGTGGGCGACAATTCACAGCAGACGTGATGGAAGAGATGCTTCGTATCTGTGCTTCAAGGTTTGGGCACTCTACACCATACCATCCCCAAACGAACGGTCTAACTGAACGAACGAACAGAACTCCCTCGAACATGCTGTCTATGAATGTTGCATCCGATCACAAGGACTGGGACAGTATTCTACCCTTTATCACATATGCATTCAACAGCGCTCAGCATGAAACTACCGGCTACAGTCCTTTCTTTCTTCTATATGCTCGACCACCTCGTCATACCCTGAATACCATCTTCCCGTGTTTGGACCACCATGATCCCTGCATATCCGAGATCATCTGCCGGGCAGAAGAAGCTAGACGCCTTGCTTATTTGCGCACTCTTGCTTCGCAAGACCATTCGAAGACACATTTTGACCGCCGACGCCGACACGTGACGTACAATCGCGGTGACCTAGTGTTGCTGTGGACACCAACTAGAAAAC